TTTCTTCAGCCACTCCAGGCTGGGGGCCTAGGGGTCCTGGGAATGGCTGGGCACGTCAGGCATGGCCTTAGCGTCTCAGAGGGGAACTGGGTAGTTGAAGGGGGGTAGACTCATTGATCACGATGGCATGTGGATATTAGGGCTTAACTGGGGCAGAATTATGGTGAGGCCCTTGATGGTGAAGGACATGGCCTGCAGTGGCCCCTTCGCCCAGGCATTTTTGAGGAAGGCTGTGAGGCTGTGAGGCAGCGGCCATGGTGGCTCCCCACATATTCCTTTTCTTTTTAATTGCTATTTTAACAGTCCACTTTGCTATGAACCTCTTATTCCGGACTATTGTCATGCACATAATACTCTATCATATATTTCTTTTAGACGGTTCTCTCTCTCATATGTTTCAATGCAGTGTACATTATTTACTCCCTATTTTCTTAGTTTTCTCCCAACCCCTCTGTTTTATAGCAGTGGCATTATGCAGTATTTGTCCTTTTGTGACTGAGATATTTCACTCAGCATAACATCCTCTATGGGTCACCCATTTTGTAAGATATTTTATGAGTTCCTTTTTTTTTTTTTTTTTTCAGGGCTGCATAGTATTTCATTGTGTGACTATACCACAGCTTCTCTACCCATTAATTTGTTGATGGGCACTTGGGTTGCATCCATCTCTTTACTCTTGTGAACAATGAAGCAATAAACATGAGCTCTAGTGGCCTGGTGGTAAGGAGATGCACTGTTAACCTAAAGGCAGGCAGTTTGAAGGTACCAGTTTCTCCTTGGGAGAAAGATGGCTAATCTCCTTCAGGCAATTTCATAGCCTCTGGAGAGTCAACTATGAGTTGACTTGATGGTACATAATAACAACAGCATAACCTGGAGCAGGGAGCTCTGGTGGCCTGTCCCCTGAGGAGTTGAGCTGCTGACCCAAAGGTTGCACTCTGGTGGTTCAAATTCACTAATGGCTCCTCAGAAGAAAGGTGAGCAATCTTTTCCTGTGTGATTTACAGCCATGGAAATGCTACGGAAGGCCAACCGTGAGTTGGCTTTGACATGACAGCCGTGAGAGTTTTGATAACTTTGAACTCAAGGCGAGTAGTGTAGTGTCCAACTGAGCCCAATGCAAAAATCAGTATTATCGACCCTACTTTCATTTAAAATGTTGATATTTTACCTATCATTAGGTTTTATAAACAATTTTCGATATTTATTACATTAAAACATTTATCCTAATGACAAATTATGAGACTTGAGAATGTTATTGTAGTTGTTATATAAGCCAATGACTCATAGCTCATCCGCCGTGGGTTTTCAGAGGCTGTAAGTCACATGAGAGACTTTCTACTAGTCTTTCTACCGTGGACCTACTTGTGGCTTTGAACTGTGTCCTTTTATGTTGGCAGTGCAAGTTCTTACCATGAGGCCTCCAGAGCTCCCTGTGTGTAAAGAAAAAAAAATCTCCTTTTGATGAGTTATGTCCTATTTTGGCCTATTGTAAGTGAGCTGGTATATTTATTTTTAGAACACTGCTCTTGAGAAGCTGTACTATTTGTGAAAGTCTTATTGTGATTGTTGGTGTTATATGCCATTAAGTTGATGGGCTTATGTTTTCATTCTTCTTGGGAAGTGCAGTGCATGCTGTCCTGCTGATCTAATGGTTAGTGGTTCAAACCCCTCGAATGTTATATGTATATTTACTATAATAAAAACCAAAGGACAAACATAAATCATATTTATTACTGAAGGGAGCTCTGGTGGCCTAGTGGCAAGAAGCTGTGCTACAATCCTGAAGGTGCGCTGTTCAAATCACCTTTCTTCTGAGGAGCCATTAGTGAATTTGAACCACCAGAGAAGTGCAACCTTTGCTTCAGCAGCTCAGCTCCTAATAGGCCACCAGAGCTCCCTGCTCCAGATGCTCCGCCGGAGAAGGAGTGGAAATCTCCTCCTGTGCCAGTCAGATGAGATTCAATGACACACACACACACACATTTATTACTGAGTTTTTACCATCCTTAAATATTATACCTGAAGTTGGTGTTGCTTTTGCCTCATCACAGTATGAAAAATCTTCTGAGAACCATCTAAGTACCATACACCAAATCACCGTAACATCTACCCTCATAGGAGCAGGGCTGCACAACTTCTTTAACAAGGGGCCACGGGGCTTTTTATTACTCAGGTTTCCAGGCAGATGTCCCAGTCTCAGTCAGCCTCCACATTGTCAGGTCTGACTGTTCCCCTGACTTGCTGCCCTATCTTGGTACCACTCTTTCCCCATCAACACTAGAAAGTAAGCTTCCACTGTTCTTTGTTCACCATGAAGTCCCAGATGACCCAAACGAGGGCCTGATACAAAGTGAGCCCTTGCCTAAGAGCCTATTGCGACTCCTACTGTCCAGCAAACTCCAGAGGATAAAGCAGAACTGCATCATGGAGCGTTCTTTAGTCTCTGACTCTGTTTACCAGAGTGGTCTGCCATATTGGAGGAGCCTATGGGCTAAAGCCCCCAACCTTTTGGTGAAGCAGCTGTATACTTGACCACTGTGCCACCAGGCTCATTTTTACAAAGTAAATGTTTTAGAAATATTTCATAAAGAGCCTCAACAGCCAATGGTTATCAAGTCCTTGCTGTGTGCTAATCAACTCCCATTTAATGGCTCATTTAATTCTCACAAGCATCTCATGAAGTAGCTTGCTGCCATTCTACAAGTGGAGGAATGACACACAGAGAGGTTACGTACTTTGCTGAGGTGCATATGGCTAATAAGGAGTGGATCTGGCATTGAAATCAGGGCAGTCTGACTCAAGAGAGGCTGTTTCAACTTTAGGACTAGTGACATTTTGATGGCATAGTCTACAGGGCATTGTGCTGCCAACCCAAAGGTGGCCCCTCTCTGGTAGTTTAAATTCACCAGCCGGAGGGAATTGGGCAATATCCTCTCATGTGATTTACAGCCTCTGAAAACTGCAGGGTCAGCTACGAGTCGGTGGTGACTTTATAGCAATGAGTTCTGAGAAGTTTTGCTTGTGAGGGGTTTTTATGGCTCAATTGTGTCCTTCAAAAACATGTGTCTGAATTTTAACCCATATCCATGTGGATGCAATCCCATTTGGGAATAGAGTTTGATCTGTGATTCTCACCTCATGAGGCAGCCAGTGGAGGTCAGTCATTTCTGAGATCCTAAAGGAGCCGATTAAGCACACGGAAGGCAGGCCTAGAGGGGAAGACAGATGTCAACCCCCAAGAAGACTGTCAAAAGACCAAGGAACAGAAGCTGTAAGAGACAAGAACCTTCCCCTAGAAATCCTAGAGAGTCTCCCCTTACAGCTGGTGGTCAGAATCTGAACTTCTAGTTTCCTAAATTGTGAAAAATAGATTTCAACCACTCCCTAACTTGTGAGGGACTAGAGAGTATTATACTAAGTGAACGAACTCAGTCCCATAAGGACAAAGCCTGTATAAGACCATTATTGTAGAAACAGAAATGTAACTAGTAAAATGTGTATGAGAATCCATGGGAGGCAGGGTAGGAGCAGAAGGGTGGGAATGGGTCAATCACAGGGTCACACAATTTGATGAGAGCCGGGGGTAAAGGAAATGGGAAAGATCTGGTATGAAAAACAATGTATATGAACTTTGTAAGTAAACCAGTATAAAATAAAAATTTTACGAGCAGCTAGAAAATTAAAAGACAAATTGCATTGGGCAAGTCTGCTGTCAGAGACCTCTACAAGATACGGAGGAGCAACAGTGTCAATCTGGAGACTAAGGTGCACCTGATCCAGGCCATGGTCTTTGCAATTACTTGCTATGCATCAGAGAGCTGGACAATGACTAGGGATGATGGAAGAATTGATGCCTTTGAGCTGTGGTGCTGGAGAAGAGTACTGAATATACCATGGACTGCTAGGAGAACAAACAAGTTTGTCCTGGAGTGGGTGAAGTCAGGCTGCTCCTTGGAAGCAAGGATTCGGAATCTCTGTCTGACATATTTTAGACATGCTGCAAGGAGGCACCAGTCCTTGGAGAAGGATGTCTTGCTTGGGAGGGTGGAGGGACAGCGCAGGAGAGGAAGACCCTCGATGAAATGGATAGATTCCGTCACTGGGATAATGGGATAGGCATGTTGGAGACAATAAGATTGGCAAGGGTTAGAGCAGGTTTTAGGGCTGTTGTACATAGGGTTGCTATGAGTCGCAAATGACTCGATGTCACATAACAACAACAACAACAACAACAACAACAACAACCATTTTAAAGCAATAGATTTAGTTTATCCACTTGCCTGTGGTTTCCCTGCTATAGGAGCAGTAGGTAGCTAAGAAGGAGCTTGATGACGTAGTATACAGTGCGTCAGGCTGCTAACTGAAAGGTGGGCAGTTTGAAGACACCATATGCTTTTCAGGAGAAAGATGGCAGTGTCCTCTCATGAAGATTTATGACTTTAGAAACCAGATGGAGGGTGTTAGCAGTCAGAGTCTACTGGAAGACCGTGATTACATGTGAATGAGACAATCAAGATGGGTTACCTTGTACTGGGAGTTGTTTAATCCATCCAAGACAGAATTATTTTCTACTTTGAATTTTTGGTTGAAATGACGCTTTTAGTAATAGAAGGCATTTTGAATAAAATAAATACATTTTCTTTTGAGGTAATAAGGATTTTGAAGCTGACAGTCAGTCATTGCCGTGAAGGTGGAACAGACTCAGAGCTGACTGTCCGGTGGGTTTTCAGAAGCTGTAAATCACATGAGAGGAGACTGCTCACTTTTCTACTCCATAACAGCTGGGGATTCAAATTGTCTGCCTTTCGTTTGACAGCACAACTCCTTACTCCTAGGCTTCCAGGTCTCACCGTGGTATAATTATTGGAACACATATGCTTCAGGGGTTTTGGATGCTGGTGCTGGTGTTGGTGGGGTGTGGTTCATTACTTCCAATTCACGGTTTTCCCGCCAAATGGCCATACCCCACATACAGAGGCTGGGTGGGGCCTTAGTCCACAGGCTCGGTTCAGATCCCAGCCAACATCAGCTTCCAGCCTGGTGAGAGCCACTGTGGATGCCCAGGCCATAAGTGCCTCTAGATGACTCCAAGCACCAGGCTGACATGCCATGTAAGCTCATGAAGGGCCCTATGCAGGAAACACCAGCCGGGCTCAGCCAACTCACAGAACTGTGAAAGATAACACCAATGATTGCTTTAAGCCTCTGAATTTTGGAGTGGTTTATAATAGACAACTGTAACAGTCCCCACACTGTAAGTTTACACAAAACAGGGACAACATCCTTAACACAACTCCAGATCTCTGGTCCTCAACCAGGTGCCTGCTGAGATATAAATGGCCAGCCAGTATTTCTTGAGTGAACGAATGAAACACAGCCAAACTCACTATTCACCCTGAGATAGAATAGATTTATTAGCAAGAGGTAATCAGGAAACATATATTTTTACAAAAATGGAAATTTCTTTTTTTTTTCCAAACAAGCTGTAAGTTGAAATATTTTAGGACTTGAAATAGAATTCTCATACCACTAGGTATTGCTTACAGCAAAAGTTGTCTGTTAGTTGTAGTGGAGCATGCCTGCCACTTTAGAGTTAACCTGTGTTTTCTATACTGTACAATGTAAAAAATACATGGTAATATTCACAGAATAAGCACTACAGTACTATATTCCTGCTAGAAGGCATTTAGACAGGACTACAGTATATGCAATAAAAACACTTGGTTATTGAGTTCCTAATTCTACAGTGTGGTACTAATTATCACAAGGTATACAGACTTAGAGCATCTCAACGTAAGCTTGTGGTGACTGTTCGGCAGCTAAAGGTGGAACAGTTACATTTGTGTGTGTGTGTGTTCCCGACTTCCAGTAGATGCTGGACAGTGGTCCAAGTCGACGTGACTTGGGGTTGTGACTCCGTTTCCCTCGGGAAGCTCCAGGGCCTCGTCCAGACGGATTGAGGCTGCTGTCATGCTGTTGGATGTTATCCTAGAGCAAGGAGGGACGTGGTGGCTGGACGAGATCGCAGCATTGGTGGTGAATGGCGTGGTTCTCAGCGGAGAGGAATCCCTTCCATCCAGGTTACTGGGAGATGGAGAGTTTTGAGACCTGCGAGATTTTGGCTGAAAAAGCTGCTTTGGAAATTGGCATCACCATCAGCGGAAAGATTTGTCAATGACTGGACTTCGGGGTATGGTTCCCCCTCCCGCCTCCCACCCACCCCCTACCCAGTTATAACAACTACATGGAACATGCTGGGAAGATGCCTGGGTGGCCGACGCAGCCCAGGGCCCTGGGCCGGGGAAGTAAGGAAGCGGGTCTGGTGCTGAGGAGTCATGTGTGCACGGGTTCGGTTCCCCTTCTGAGAAGAGCACGCGATCTGGGAAGGACAGACTGGGAGGACGGTTGTTGAAAAGAAACCGGCACTGTGGAAGACGGGGTGGGCTGAGTGGGCCAAGTCTTAAACGATGCAGAAATTCATATTCCTACAGGAATCTAAGAACAAGAATGGATTTGTATTCCTGGAGAAGCACATACTAGAGAAGAGAATCCGGAGAAACCAAACAGATATGTACAATTATCATATAGCAAGTGTACATGGGGCAGGGGCAGCTGGGGCCGAGCCGGGCAGCTTCAGGTGGGGAGTTTTGGTTCTATTCGTAGAGAAGACTCGTAGAGGCTTTCTTCATCCATTACAAAAGATTGGTCCAGTAAGTATTGAGTGACCTGGAAAACAGGAGAGAGGAAAAGGAGAGCCAGGGTTACGTGGCCCACACACGACACTGACCGTGGACCCCAGAGGTCTCTCGGGAGCCAGAGTTGAACCAGGGTCCGACTAGCACACGAAGAGGTAAGCAGTGTTTGGTCTTAATATTTGGCTTAATATTAAACTCAGCAGTGGCCCAAGGGTAAACTTCTTGCCTTTCATGTGGGCACCCTGGGTTTGATTCCTCCTGGCTGGTGTGCACATGTGCAGTCACTACTTGCTGGGGGGACCTGCATGTTACTGTGATGGAACAGATGTCAGTGGTGCTTCCAGAATAAGATGGACTATGAAGAAAGGCCTGGTGATCTACAGTCAAAAACCAGCCAGTGAAAACCTTATGAGATTTTCATGACAACCAATTATGGGATGGTGCAGGCAGCTTTTACTTCCATTGTCATGAGGTCACCAGCAGAGGAGCATCTGAGGCATGACAGGAAAGCCACTCAAGGGGAGTGCTATTTAACAGGAGGCACCATCGAGCAATTTCTATTGACCATCACGGTTTCCATCAACAGCTGTGAGAAACACTTAAGCTTGCTAAAATGAATACTTCTGCATTCATTCAGGCTCCCTGGGTCAAGGCAGACTGTGTGATCTTGCTCAGTTTAGTGTAGAAAGAGAAAAGACAAAGGGGAAGACTTAGAGACATTATAGACCAATTTTTATCAGTGAAAGCAAGAAAAGTGTAGGTTGAATTTTCATGTGGTGCTGTCGCGTGCTAAGAAAAGGATTAGTGGGGAGCTCTGGTGGCCTGGTGGCAGGAAGCTGCAACTACAATCCCAGAGATGCACGGTTTGAATCCACCAGATGCTCTGCCGGGGAAGGAGGGGCAATCTCCTCCTGTACCAGTCAGATCTGATTTGACGGTACAGGCACACAAAAAAATAAAAAAATAAAAAAAAGAAAAGGATTAGTGAGTCCGCAATGTATTTTTTAACAGGTATTGTATAAAGTTTTCTAAAAGAGGGGTGTGAGATATTTAGCCAGGGATGCAATTTTCTGTTCCTCATGGCCATTATTTTCTTAGGTTCGCCTCTCGTTGCCATGAGCAGTGGCTGGCTTGAAGACATCAAGCAAGAGCAGCAGTCACAATTACCCTTGATTGTTATGTCTTTGTCAGACCACTAAGTGGAGTGTTTGTGGTCCATGTTTCATGGGAGGAAAAAAAAAATACACACACACACACACACACACACACACACACACACCCCACCTGCAGAATCTAGGTGGTAGATGTGTGGGGTTCACTGCACATTTCTTCCAATATTTTTATGCTTTAAAATGATCATAACACAATGTTGGCAAAATACAGATCTGACCATTAGGATTTATAGTATTCATTCCAAGAGAGTTAAATGGAGACCGAGGCTGTGTGAGGAGAGTCTCCTCTTTCCCCCACCTCATCAGGGACTTTCCCTTATGGGATCTAAATGATCTTTTTCCCTCTGACCCCATTCAGACTTCCTGTGGGATTCCTCACAGGTAGCCCCCAGTTCTAAAAAGTCTCTGTCTAATCAGTAATTGTTGTTGTTGTTGTTGTTATGTGTCATTGAGTTGACTATGACTCATAGCGACCCTATAGACAATAGTTCTGAACCCTGCTCTATCCTGAGCCAACCTCACTGTCTCTGGCACACCTACCCTCATTACCCCAGTTATTGTGTCAATCCACCTCATCTGGGGTCTTCCTCTCCTGCACTGTCCCTTGACCCTTCCAAGCATGATACTATTCTCCAAAGACTGGTTCTCTCCTGATTACAGGCCCAAAGTATGTGAGATGGAGTCTCAAAATCCTTGCCTCCAAGGAGCAGCTTGGTTTCACCCTCTCCAGTACAATCCTGTTAGTTTTCTTGGGAGTCCATGATATGTTCCATACTCTTCTCCATCACCACAACTCAAAAGCATCAATTCTTCTGTAAACCTTGGTCATTGTCCAGCTCTTGGGTGCATAGCCTGGCTTGGATCAGCCATAACTTAGTCTCTAGACTAACATCATTGCTCTCTAGCACTCTGGAGAGGTCTCTGACAGTAGATTTTCCTAATGTAGT